TATGAAAATTCTGCCTAGTGGTCTCAGTTAAAAAAAAAGAATTGTTGTCTTGAAATTTCTAACAGCAGTCAATTTTTTCAAAAAGTTACAATATTAACAAATATTAAAGTGCAGTGATTTCTGTGGGATTCTTCAGAGGCAAAAGATAGGGTAGTAGACCAGTGAAGGCATTGCCAGAAATATGAATCTGAGCCTTGTTCTGGGTTTGCAGTAAATGTTCTCCGCAGTGGACCAAGCTGGTCATTCATGAGAGCCTAGATATTCAGACTGGGAAGTCATAAGCATCCAAATGTGATGTCAATGACATCACTCTTAGTTGTGTCAGTGGCTACAGAAAGTGAGCCACTAGGTTTAAGAAGTGCTTTGACTTTTTTATAGGGTATAGTTGAGCCCCTGTAGTTTCATTTGTTTAGTATACTGAATCACAAAAGACATAGGGCACACATGCAAGCATGCAAGCATGTGCACTTGCAGCAGCTCAAATAGAAGCAATGCAAAACTGAGGCAGGGCTTTTTGCCTCAGTGCATGTGGCTGGATATGCACTTTGTGGTGGACCAAATTGTGCCACTTGGGGCAAAATAACCCTGCCTGGCTCCTCCTGGATCTGCAGCCAGGGGGAGCTACAGCCCAGGGCCAGTACCTGTGCTGGCCCCAGTAGTATAAAAACCTGCCCTGACCAGCAGCTCAGGGCTACTTGCCCTCAGGAGCTTCTGGGGCCAGGGCAATTACTGTATTTTCGCGCATATAGCCCACACCCATGAATAACCTGCACTCATGTATAACCCACGGAAAATTGTGTTTTCGTAAAATACTCCATGTATTCCCCGCACCCATGTATTCCCTGCACCCCGAGACATGGCTGCAAGCGCGGGCTCTGCTGGGCTTGCAGGCTTTGTAGGGGAGGGGGGGATGAGGAGCTACCACCACCAGCCACACTCTGCTAGGCATGGCCGCCAGAGCTGGAGCTGGAGCCAGAGCCTGCAGCTCCTCATCCCTCGCCTCCCCTGCAGAGCCCACAAGCCCATCCCCAGCTGCAGGCTCCAGCTCCAGCTCCGGCGGTCATGCCCAGCAGAGTG